TCCAGTGGTATACTTTCTTTCCTGTGTCCCAAAGTAGAAGGCTGTGTAAAGTTTTGATGCAGAAGCAAGTGCCTTTTCACACCAAATATATACCTGAATAAGGTATTTTTAAAAAATACGGGACAAAATTACTTTAGCTAAACATTTCTAAGCAGAGAAGGTGCAAGGTGAATAAAAACCATCCTGCTTACTGCAGTTGGATGAATCAAGGGTCCTCTTGGTGCTTGTATCAGTAGTTTGGAGGAGTGGGGAGTTTTAAAGCCCTGCTGAAGCTCATTGCATAAAGACAAATTTCATCCTTAATATAGTTTCTTCCCCTTCTAATCAGGATAAGGGCAGTGCTGGCTTTTGGACCAGCTGAGAAGCTCTGCTAGCCTTTGGCTCACCATTGACTGCTTCAGCTGTTATGGCTGGTTCAAACTGAGTTGTTGGAAGGAAGCTGTTGAGATGTTTGCAGTCTCTTCAGGATATGTACACAGCACATCAGCAAGCACATGCCCCCTGTATGCAAGCACTAAACCAGCTAAAATGCATGAGCTAATTAATTTTGCTGCTAGGAGGGATACAGTAGTTCAGGTTGAACTTCTTGGCTACAGAGCTACTACAGGAGCTGCAAAGAAACTACATCAGCATGTTTAGATCTTGCAGATGCTTACTGACTTCCACTAAGTAGAGTACACTATCCATTTGAAGTGTTTGTGTTATGCAGAGGGGTTTGGAAACATGCAGTCAAGGCAACAGTCCTCTATTACTGCCTATAGTTCAGTTTGGACTAAATGCACAGCAGTTGGAACACAACAGTAATCCTTTGGTTTGTCTCAATAACTTGATAGCTTGCTTCAGAAACCAGGATTTTATTAAGTTCTCTGCAGCCACAAACCTGAAGAAATTATCTGGATGCTATGTGGGCTCAGAATTCCATCCCATCTGACCTCAATACGAAAATGGGTCCAGTGTCCTTGGTCCACAAAGAATGAAATTCAGCACAAGTGTCTGCTGAGCAGCAGAAAACATTCTCTGGTGCAACAATGACTCTGTGTCACTTCACAGACAAATGCAGCACACCACTCCTCTTAGGTTATTAAGACTATCATTACTGTACTCATTCAGTTTTATGAGGTATCTGCTACCCTTCTAAATAGTGTAGTCTTCGTCCAGGTACTGATTTTGTTCCTTACTTGTTACAAGTGAAATTTCCAAATAATGCAATCTGCTTATCTTGGTGTAAATGTCTCTGGTTGATGTTAGACCTCAGGATTTAAAAATAGCTCTTAGGTCTCACTCCACTTTCAGCTGCTTGCAGGAGAAATGTTGGAGAGAAGGTTTCCTCTAAATAAGAAACTGGCAGTGCCAAACTGTATTCCAGAGGAGGTACTTTCAAAACCTAGGGGCCTACAAACCCTGGGTGCTTTAGCTCCAGCTTCCTTCACTCTGGACTTCTAACATGGTGAGTGGATCATAAGCCCACTTTGTTCTAGGGCAACCCCCAAGTTGCACAACTCTGTCAACAACTGGTACTTAAACTTTCTTATCATAAGCTACATCCATGTTCTTACACTATCTGAGGTGGATGCTCAGCCTGTATAGCATCATTCCATCTTCCAAGAGCTGCCCTCGTATCTCAGCATTTTCTCCCAGTCAGAACAGACAGCATGGATCAATATTTAACCCTTCCAAAGAAAATGTAGAGTTCTGCTTTAAGGTGGTACTGTTTGGTGCTCTTAAGATTCTGTCACTTGTCTCTTATCCCATTGTCTGGTTAGGAACTTCTTTGTGTGGTAGATTTTAACAGTTTCTTTCTCCCCAGGAAGCATGATACACGAGTTAAAATGTTGTCTTGGCTTTGCAATGCCTTACATATTGCATTTGTTAAAAGAATTGAGTTACCACGTATGATGCATGTCATAACTGTACAAAGTACATGCTCTTTAGGGTATCACTAGCTCATGACAGAGACCACATATGAAAGGAATACTGTGATGGCAGCTGCAATCATAGATTGCTTGGATTTCACCATCTCTACCTCTTCCTCATTGTTTGCTCTCAGTTGTAGAGGTTCCGTATGTCACAGCTTGTACAAAATCCTGTATGAACAGATTACTAAATACATTGCCAGTGGGTTTTACAGGCGTTCCCACTGGAGCTCTGTACATGGATGCTTGGGCATGGTGGGATTCTGTGTCATGATTTGATCTAAGTAAGAGATTCTTATTGTTACCTCCACATTTTTAGCTCATATGCTCTTAGGTAATATAAGAATGAATCTCATTAATTAATATATATTCTCTGTTTCTCACTGAGTTTCTGAACTAGCCTGTCTCTGTTTTACTTCCTCAGTGGATCCATAATATTAATTTAAACTATTACTTTCTTATTAATTCAGATATCTCTTTTTCTTCCAGAATGTTTTTATTGAAGCACTCATTCTTATGGAATGAGTAATAAAAAGCAAAACTGTGTCATATGTATTAATGTTATCTATCATCAGTTTGCTTTTTCAGGATCTGGTAGCCATCACACACAAACCAGCTATTTTACTAAAGTCAGGCAAGAATATTCTGCCATTATTCCTTCTTCTCTGAACATCCTGTGGTTGACATAGATAATATTTAGGCTGCTTCATTTAGCTTTAAGAAAAAATTCAAGGAAATAAAAATTGTGATTTTTGTGATTTCTGTTCTCCATGTGATTGCCAGGTAGCAATGAGGTCCCTAAGGGACAGAGGCTGGAATCGGAGCATGAGAACCTGACCAACACAGCAGGGACCAGCAGCTGGACCCAGCTGCAGCCAGAAGCAGGGCAGCCCTAGCCCTGGGCACCTCCCTGGGGACTGGACAGGCACAGCTTGGGGGCTGTCCCTGTTGTGGTGTTGCTGGAGCAGGGACTGATGGCCTTGGAGGTCTAACATGGGGCCCTGGGGAGTGGATGGGGTGTGAGTCATTCCAGGACGGCTGGGCAAGAGTGCATACTGAGGTTAGAAACAGCTGGTTATAGGAAAAAGTGTGCAAGAAAGAAAAGTGGGTGGACTTTAGTCAAGAGTGGTTCAATAATATCCAGTGTTCCCAGGCTTAATCATCTGGCTCTCTTGCCTCATTGCTCCATTTGTGTTTTTCCATATGTTTAAAATAGGACACTCTATGCCCAGAGCAATTATTTTCACCATGTGTGCACCTCCTAACGCACAAGAGCACAGGCTCAACTTCATCCCCACCCTTGTACCCAGGGGTTTTCATTGACACAGGCACCCTTTGCCCCTTATGGCTTCAAGCAAGGCAGTGGGAATCACTGTGTTCAGGACATAGAGCTGAATATGGCTCGTGGAAATCTGAGCCCTGCTCTTTCCTCCCTCAGGAGTAATAGTTCCCATTCATGTTTCCTGGTAGCCCTCCCAGGGTGATTATTTCAGATCTGTGCCACCCCGGCATTCATTCATTCCCAGCCTTCCTCATACATCTGGAAACTTTGTCTTTGAGATTTTTGAGAGCTCAGTGTTCAAAATAGGATAATATATACCAGTATATATTATACCAGTGAAATGGTACTCTTTCCTTTGCTGTTTTATGTATGAATCAAATCAACCTTCTGAACCCTTTTTCCCCCATTTTGATCATTATTTCAGGAGAAGTGAGATTGGGAGTTGTCGCAGACCTGTTCATTCTCTTCCCTGTCTTCCAGGAAACATAATCATTGGGTTCTTCATGTGCTGGACTGTGTTTTGTCTCCATCAGAAATAAGATCATATTATTATTAGAATATTTACTTGGTGTATGTTGCTGTTATGTTTGAATGAAACAACTTCTCTTGCCTGTGTCTTACCTAATTAAAGTAAGCCGACTTTCAACTAGAATTTAACCCATATTGTTTAACTAGTTCCAATGGTTTAGCTTACCGTACTCACTAAAAAAGTATGAAATGGGACGTGGTTCGGTGGTGGACTTGGCATAGCTAGGTTAACAGTTAGACTCAGTGATCTTAAATGTCTTTTCCAAACTGAATGATTCTACGATTCCATGAAGAAAGACTTTTCTGTTCCTCTGGCTCTAACTGTAAATGTATTTATTTTTTTCTTTACAATTAACCTTCAGTGTTGGGATGGGAATTATTATATTTTCCCTGGTATGTTATCTTCTTCGAAATTTCAAGCAATTCTGTTATCAGTGAATTTTATTCTTTAAATAGTTAATAGTTCTCTTAGTGTGTCACCTAATGAGGTAGCTGTGTCCTACTGGTTGATAGATAATGGCTCGCCATGGATATTTCAGTCTTACAGTCTAAAAATCTGATCCAGTAGAGAGAACATTGTTCCCTAAAGCAAAATGAATTACAGAGTTTCAGGTCCAATGGGGCTTTTCATTGCATTTCACTGTTAACAGTATAGGATGTTTACACACATAATATTTTTGAAAGTTTGGAGGTAACGGGAGTTGTGAGATGGGTGATAGCCCTCACTCCTACTTATTTAACATCTATGATACTGTGCACAGGAAAATCACTCTAAACAGTTGCAGAAATCAATTACTAATTAATTGGCTGGCAACCATATAGCTGTTCACTAAGTACTATAGCCAGTACTTGCCATCACCATTCCTTTCATCTCCTTGGGTCTTTCTTCCTTCAGCCTTCTAGTTTTTTCAATCTCTTGTTCTGTGTTGATTGAAATCACATTGTTAATTCTTCAGGAACTGAAGTCTCTCAGCGTTTCTAAAATAATCTTAGCAATTAATACTAAGGAGAAGACTGATTACCATTTTTTCTGGATGTGAAAGGGAGAGCAAAAGAGAAAAACAGGGTAAGAAAAGGACTTCTTGGTCTGATTAGCTTCTGAACAGTTGCTGTGAAACTGGGCTTGTTCTGCAAAGCGAGAGATGACTTTATAGATGGTTTGTATAGCCGTTTGTTGCTTAGTTAATTAGAGCCAATTTTCATTCATTTAGTTCACTACCACCACCCTCCTACTTATTTGCCAGTCTTTGAGCAGGTTTTGTTTGGGTTTTTCACAGGTCAGAATTAGCTTCCTGCTGTGATGCAGTTCACAATTTTATTGCTTCTCAAAACAACACCCCGCTGGGAAGTAACATGAGTTATGAAGTGGACAGTAAAAAGACCATCCTCATTACAGATGACATTTTTAAAATGCTGCCTGTGGTAAGAACTGTGTCGTTACCTGTTACTACAATTGCCATATCATACATATTTTGGGTTAGTAATAGAGCTGCTTTGTTTGATTTCTCTGGAAGAGACCTGCTGTATGCACTTTTTCATTCACCCTGTAATACCTTTTTTTTCGCCTTCCTCTGCAGTGGTGGAGGCATGGAAAGGGTATCATAGATCAGACTGCAGGTAGAGTTGCCACAAAACACAAGTTGCAGCCTGGCTTGGCAGCCAGATGAATTCACGAGTGAATCCTCTGAGAACAATTGCCTTGCTTTTCTCATTCCCGTTTTCAAAGGCATTTCAGTCTGGAACAATATTTCATATTCCTCATATTCCCATGCCATTTTCAGTGCAGGCTTGGGCATATAACTTCTGAAAGCTATTTTCAGTTCAGTATCAGTTTACACATGAATAGAATAGAATATAATAGAATAGAATAAGACTAGACTAGACTAGACTAGACTAGAATAGAATAGAATAGAATAGAATAGAATAGAATAGATATTTTAGTTGGAAGGGATCTACAATGATCATCTAGTCTAACTGTTTCACCAGGTCAGAGCTGACCAAAAGTTAAAGCATGTTATTAAGGGCACCTAGCTGAAAAGTAAAATCACTGAGCAGAATTGGTTCTGTTTAGGTCAAACCAGGACAGGACATTATCCAAATGCCTCTCAAACCCTGACAGGCTTGGGGCGTCAACCACTTCTCTAGGAAGCCTGTTCTAGTGTTTGACCACATCCTTGGTAAATAAATGTCCAGTCTAAACCTCCCCTGATGCAGCTTTAAACCATTCCCATGTGTCCTTTCACTGGATACCAGGGAGAAGAGCTCAGCACCTACATCTCCTCCTCTCCTCCTCAGGAAGCTGTGGAGAGCAATGAAGTCACCCCTCAGCCTGCATTTCTCCAAACTAGACAAGGCCAAAGTCCTTATTTACTCGTCATAGGACATTCCTTCCAGCCCTTTCACCAGCTTTGTTGCCCACTGGGGTGGGGCCTTTGCAGCCAGAAACACAAGTTGAACAAAGAAATCGGATTTGGTAGCTCAGGATTTGTAATAGACGTACAGGCGCTGGAAACCAGACAAGGCGGGGCACAGACATGTACTTGATTTCTTGAAAGTAATATCACATGGGAGCCCTCTTACGCGTCTCTGACATGCTTGATTTGTGGGATCCCAGCTACCATGAGTCCACTCCTTTCTCACGTTGCTGTGAATCACTAAAAACTTAATTGCAGTAGAGGTTACAGTGGTTCCAAATTTAAACTGAAACAGACAAGTGGTATGTTTTATGTGCATACATACTTGGTAAGCTGGGCAGAGTTGTCTGGCCTTTGTGTTCCTCTAATACCCTTTTCAGAACTGAACAAGATATTTGAACGCGTTTTGTAATATATTGCTAGAGAACATGGTGTCTGCCACTCTCCCCACACTTTTTGCCTTGCTTGTAAGTGTCCCCTCTTGCTTCTCTTTGGGCAAGCTGATGAGAGAACGAGAAAGGGTAACACTTTGTGTAAGCCAGTGTTGACTCAATTTTGCAAGTGGGTTCGGCTTCTGCAGTTGAAGTAGCCCAGCTGTTGGCCTTTCTGTTGAACGTCAGTGCTCCCACAGCAGGAGGGTCTGGACAAGATGTATGAGATGTTTCTGAGGCCTTGGGATAACAGCCAACTGAAATAGCCAACAATTTACATTAATTTGCTAGGGTGTGATACGTGCTGTTTCACAAGTGGATGCACGTAGCTGCCATTCAACTTGCCCACTGCAAGACAGCAACCTCTGACGAGAAGTGAAGTAGAAGGTGAAAGCCAGAAACAGTAACCACCTCAGTTAGCCCTCACGTTCACCATGAGTTAAGCTAGGGCACGTGATTATCCTTTACAGCATCTTCCCCTAAATTCCTTGTTTTACATCAAATGTAATTGTGTGATGACAAAGTAATGAGCATTTACAAAGTTGCCTTTTATTAGCTGACAAAGTCAATGACTATGTGACAGCCTGCAGTCTATTACAGTGCAAAGGAAAACGGGCAAATTTAAACTATCTTCAGGACAAGTTACTTCCTTAGCTTGGCAAGGATTCAGTCCACTACTAGATAATTTCTGTGTTAAGTGTATTTGAAAGATATTCATCCAGTTTTAACAATCCAGTGTCATTCCCTGAAAGTACTGATGACAGAAGTAGCAGTTCTCAGTCTCTTGCTGCCTATTTTGGTCTCTTGGCTGTTGAGGCCTGGGAACCCTGTCTGCTGAATGGTGGAGGCTTTCACTGGGATTTACCAGATTAAACCTGCAAGGACAAACGACTAAAGATGCAAAGAAACAATCCAAAGATTTATAAGGCATTGACTGTGTCTTTTTATTTGTTTGCAGTCCTCTCCTCTCTCAATCTATCCCTTCAAGACCTGTGCTGTGGTTGGAAATGGAGGCATTCTGAAAAATTCCAGCTGCGGAGCTGAAATCGATAGTTCTGACTTTGTGTTTAGGTAAGAGCTGCTTCATCTTACTGAAGTGAGGCCAGTGTTTCTAAAAACTTGTCAGGCTTGGAAGCATGCCAATACCAGTTTCTAGCAATGAGGAAGGATCTTGACAGTTCTTTATTTCTGCCTCTCTAAGGATGCTCCTTCTGCTTTGTAGATTTCAAAATGCTGCTTCCTAAGTGAATGGTGTGGATACATTTATGATCTATGACTGCAAAGATACCTTGCCGGTGTTGTGAAGCACGGTTATCTGAGAACCTTTAACATCCTTTAGGAGAGGGCACTTTTTTTTTTTTTTAATAAGGAGAAAAGAATAAAGAAAACCCTGAAACTGAAATAAGAAGGACTGATATTAAATGTCACATTTTTACCTCTGGTTTAAAAGAAGGTTTACTTCGCCTTAGGTTGATTCAATAATGCAGTTATTTAACTGCCCCAGTATTTGTCTTACCTTCTGTTAGCCATCTAAAAAATTAGGCATCTGATTTAAGTAGGTTTTTTCAGCTCCCCTCTGTAGATTGTGGAGAAAATGAGGTACACACAGAGTGTAATTTAGACCACACTCTCAGTACGTGACTCACACTTTGTAGTTGCTGCAAGGGAACAGAGTAACAGAGTGAAGGTTCTTCTCTCAGTGATGTCCAATCACAATCTGCTGGATTTTGTTTCCTTTCCTGCTTCTGACTAATATTTGGACGTTTCAAATTTAAAATAATTTTTTTAAAAAGTCTTTCCGGTAAGAAAACTCTCTTAATAAAAATGGGAAATCTGTCTACTAAGTGACTGACTTCAAAAATATGCTTTCTTTACTTTTTTGCAGAAACCACTGTTTCTGCAATTGGGCCAGTTATGCTGTTGTCAGAAGAAATAGTAAATGACTTTCAGAAGAAATGCATTATTTAGGCAAGAGAGGGGCAATATTTCCCAGCAGCTAACATAGGACATTCATAGACTGGTTGCTTCCGGGATTTTAACTTTGCTCCTGATTTCTGAGATGATTTATGAAAATGAGCTCTCTGTGCCCTATTTTAACCATCTGTACAGTAGATTAAATATTTTTACTAGAAGTGCTGTAAGCCTTATTTAATATTTGTAAAGTGCTTAGAGATCCCTGGGAGCTGACGTGAAAGTGTCATTGCACAAGAGAGGAATTTGCAGATAATAACTGTAAAGCATTTCTGGTGCACATCTGTTTAAGGTAATGTTTCTCAATTGCAGGTGTAACCTCCCTCCAACCGTGGGAAGCATTAGCAAAGATGTTGGCAATAAAACAAACCTTGTGACTGTTAATCCGAGTATCATAGCTCAAAAGTAAGTACTACTGCAAATCTGTGTCTGTGCAATATTGTATAATTGTTTGACACGATTTAGATTTTGTTGGAAATCCATTGGGATACCAGCATAGAGAGTGGTGCATGCAGATTACTTCATTAAGCCTTAGTTCCCATGTAAAATATGTTCCAGTCTAAATGGAAATCTCTTAAACCTGCCCTGTTTTTGTAGCAGAAGGGAGTCAGCAATACCCAGATTAGCAAGTGCATTGGTTGGCCCCATTTCGCAATTTATGGAAGACTAGAACTGATATTTGCAAGCCCAAGCCTCTTCTTTTCCCCCCCATGACCCTCATGACCCCAGCATAAGAAAGGAATTGTAGTCATAAATCAGGAAACCTTGGGAATGTGTGTTTGACTCCATCAGTAGGACTGTGAGCACATGTTCTTAGGTGACGTGCTTAGAGGCTGTTCTGATGAAGGCTATTTCCTGAATGGAGGCCCATTTCTCGAATCCATTTTCTTAATCCATAGGAAAGCTTCTCTCACACTTTTTTCTTGGCATTTTTTTTTCTTCACCTTCTTGATGAAAAGAAAACCGAATAAGGCTGGGCTGACTAATCTGACATCTTCAGCAGACTGGAACTGCATCTTATCTATGAAAAGGACTGCTCTGGCACATTATTTACTCCTTACTGATCTTACTGTATGTTATTGTCCCTCATATTTTTATTTGTCAAATAGACAACATCAGGCAAAGCTTTTTTTTTCCCCCCCCCCTTTAAAGGAGGAAGGAAAAAGTACAATCAGCATAGAAATGACTAGCAGGCATTTGTCATTGCTTCAAGGATAGAACTTGATTTTTTGCAGTGAGCACTAACTACCTTGGTGCTTACCTAGCACAGTTTTACTTAAATGAAGATGAATTATTCCTTCCCCAAAAATAGATTTAGTACACTGGTGTTAGTGGGACTGCACAAGAATATGAGGACGGAAAACTTTGTCCAGTGACTCAGCATCATTGGTGACTACTGACCTGATGCATGATTTGTCTGGGCTTGATAAAGGTATTCTGCCACACCTGCACTCATTTTTTTTAGCCAGATTAAGCCATGCCTGGGTTAACAGGAGTCACACAGAAGGAAATAGGAACTAAACCTGTGTGAGGATGAGATGAGATTATGAAAGGACTTTAGGATTTCAAGAAATTAATTATTTAAATATTCAGAGTACATTGTAAATCCTTTCCAAGGAGAAGCACAAAGCAACTTGGCACTGTTTAGAAGAACCAAATTTATTTCTTCTTTCATAAGACCATTCTGACTTTATTTGCTTTAATTTCTAATTCTATGTCTGGGTACTGGCTTAGTCTGATGTTATTACTGTGGAGTTTAATCAGATTTTGTACTGCATCAGGGTGTACAATGTAGGTGAACTCTGTTGGAGGAAGGAGGCACAGCTCTTACGTGTCCTAATGCACCTCAGAGTGGCAGAGCTGGGAAGGAAACAAAAACAAGACGAGGTCCAAGCTTCCAGCTAAGGAATAACAGAGGTCTGAATTCTGCCCTGAAAGTTCTTTCTGTACTTTACACTGAGCAGAAATAGACACTTCTTGGAGTAGAGGCCAGAAGTTCACCCTTCAGCCACTCTTCTAGACATAGGCTCAGGCATTTCTTTCCTGTTTTGGCTCTGCACAGGGTCAGGTAGAGGGGCTGAGTCTCATTCATTTTGCTTCAGAGTCTGGTGGCAATGACACTTTTCTGGGAAGCAGAAGTGTGAATTTAAATCCCATAAGGCTGGAAAGGGGTTTATCAATTCCTCATCAATTTAGTTGTGCAAGAGATCCTCCGAGAGGGTTTTGAATGGAAAAGGGAGCGGCTGCAGTCCTCTGTCTTAAAAGTGCTGCATGAACCTATTCAAATCATGAAGCTAAATGAAATCAAGTTTTCCAGTTTTTGCTGGAGCTATTTGTTAAAAGTGGACTCTAGTAGCCCTTAAAACATGACAATACACTGCTCAGATAGACAGGTACCCACACTGCAGTGCTTGGAATCTCATAGTAGGGGTGAGTGCCCATTGGTGATTCAGGTGATAGGGACAGCTCAGATCTATAGAGGAAACAAAGTTGACTGACCTTCTTGTGTGCTATATCACTTCTTGGATGACTCTGGCAGATCACTATTCGATATTTGGGAGCATGGAATTATCCAGTGGTGAGAACCAAGTCTCTCTGTTGGTTGTTGGGGAACGAAAGTGTCTGAGGATAAATCCTTTTCATTTGTGAAGTTACATCTCTAAGTCTTTATGGATCTCCATGTGTTCCCTTTGTAGCTGAAGAAGATATTTAGGTATCCTATATTTTCAGCTATTTTAAAAGTGTATCAAAAGCAGCTTAGACCCAACAAAACTTGAGCATACACTAATCTTTGACACTCCAAGACTGCTCACATGCATACTTGTGTTTCCGTGCAGGGCAGACACACAGGCTTTGAAGAGATGTTGTTGTATACCTACTGATGTAAGAAGCACGTTTCACAAATACATGCAGTATATATCGTAGTGCATGTATTTTTAAACAGAGAAAGTATAAATATGATTTTTTTTTTTGCATTCTCCTTTTAAATTCATCAAATCGATCAATTCTGTAAACAGGTCCTGGTCTCATTAGCAGTGAATTTGATCTACTTCAGTAGCTCCTGTGTTGCCCAGTCAATCCTGTGAAGTGTATTTATTATACAAAAAGGCAGATTTTCATAACTGCACATATGATAACATATAACTGCACATATGACAACATAAAACAGGTTGGTATAAATTTGGAATGCAGACATGCTGAACTGGTGCACCAAAGTTCATAACTCATATATACAAGTGCAGTTGTGCTGTTTTGATCTATCATATTTGTATCAATAGTATATTCCATTCACTATTTCCTAAAATGTGCTTCGCAGATACAACAAATTAAATGAAAAGAAGAGAGAATTTCTGGAGAACATTGCGGTCTATGGAGATGCTTTCCTTTTATTGCCAGCATTTTCCTTCAGAAGCAACACAGCCACTTCTTTTAAAGTCTATCACACTCTGCAAGAGTTCAAAGCAACGCAAAGGGCAATATTTTTTCACCCTTTCTATCTGAAAAGTCTTGCCCAGTTCTGGAGAACTAAGGGTGTGAAAGCGTACCGGTTGTCATCTGGTTTTATGATCACTAGTGCTGCTCTCGAGCTGTGTGAGAATGTGAAGCTCTATGGCTTCTGGCCTTTCTCAAAATCCACAGAGAAGATGCCAATCAGCCACCACTATTATGACAACCAGCTGCCTAAACCAGGTTTCCATGCAATGCCCAAAGAATACAACCAGATCCTTCAGCTTCATGGCAAAGGCATTTTGAAGTTGCAGTTTGGTAAATGTGAATCAGACTAAAAAGGTAGGTCACGTTCTTAGACATGAAATGTCTTTTTTTTAAGTAATATGTCAAGAGAAAACTTGTTTTGCAAACAGTGTGGGTCTATACTTCCTTATAGAGACAATTCTACCTTACACTCAGTGAACGTATTCATAAATTAGTGAAAGATCAGAGTTTTCTGAATAAATGTAATGTACCACAGGGTTGAGAAATGTTTTCTAGTTGTGAACTTTAGATGGGGAGCTAAACACACATTATCACCATAATTTGCAGTCCATCACTAGTGTCTTCTTATCTCAGATATGTCTCTACCAACCTGTGCTTGATTTGGTATCAGTTCCCAAGAACCAGCCTCCTTTGTTAATTGCTTTATTGAAGGCAGGCAGATACTATGATCCACAAGAGAAGACACCTAATCCTGGCACAGCCTTTCCAGATGTATACAGAGGCCAAAGGAAGGATTAAGATTGCCCCATGAAGCAGCAGCGTACACATGCACCCTTATTCCCTCTCGATAGCTAACGATAAGTTCAGAGCGTCATGCTCTCACAGCCCCGGGCTGCGGAGTAGCTTGGGGACAGCGGTGAGGAAGCTTCCATGTACTACAGCAGATCTTGCTGAGGATTTGAGCTCAGAATCTGGGAGTTACAAATATAGGATGAAGTGTCATTTCCTTTTTTTCGTCCCTTCTAATTGTCTCGTCCCCCTTGGACCAATACCTTCTGTGCATTGCCTCAGAGAAATGTAGCAGAGTCTGGCCTCTGACCTTGGGCCAATTTGCTGTGCACAGATTACAGATTACTTGGAAAAGATTTGTCTGCATATTTTCAGTCTTGATTTGCTCTGTTGAGAAAATAAGACCAATCCGTATAAATACTGCTTCATCTTTTAAGCTAAGTCAGAAATTCCCCAGCTCACAGTATTGTTGTCAGATCTGCTTTTCACAGAACTCTGTATTTTTCTGGGGGGTTCAAGTTAATGTAACAGTAAGTGAAATGTATTGCAGAACTACCATTGTATACGATATGCTTTAATTTGACTGATGTAATCTCATAAATTAAAATAGCATCATCTTGTTCAAGACAGAAATGTTAAACTCAAAAGCTAGGGACTTTTCTTCTGTCTAGGTTCTGAGAATGTCCTTTGATGGTATTTAGAAAACATGCTGTCAAAGATACATTCTCACTTGGTTCATCATCAGACACTGCTAAATTATAAACTAGCAGATTGGTAGTACAAGAAGGCACAATTTTGTTCAGTTTCAGTTTATTTGGAGAAATAGAAAAACAAACTGCTTTCCCGTACTATGAGAGTAATATAAAACATGTGAGAAGAGACCTGGAAACCATCTAGTGAATCCATTCTCCTAGTCCATGGTAGGAGATTGCTTAGGAGGAGGGCTATGTGTATGCAGATTCCTGTGCCTAAGGTATGGGGTTTTTGCTTGTAAAAAGTTGCAGCATATTGGAAGGGCTAAGAAGTACATGATGTATTTTTTTAGAGGTTTAAATTGTTTATACTCTGCAGTTTCCATTGTATTTATTCTTCCTATAATATAAATAGCTGGAGACATACAATGTAATTTTAATTGTAGTTGACTACACCAGCCAAGAAAATGAAAGGCAGCTCTTTATGAATATTCAAAACAATAGAAACCACAAAAATGTTTAAGCATCTGTATGGGTTAATTAAATGCTGTCCATGCCTGACAGACTGAAAATCATTTTCTGTGGCCAAATTTGCAGAATAAGCTGTAAAGAAAAAGACAAGCAGAAGGATAAGTTGTGCTGCCATAACATACACTTATATTTACAAAGAGAAAAATTAGCCTTTTAAAACCAAAGAAATGATATGCTTTTAGTATGAACTACCCTTCTGCTACTATTGTCAGCTATTAGAGATAATTGAAATTCTGTAATGAGTATATTTCATTGAAATGACCTTTTTTAAAAAAATGAACAGTCTCCTTTCTCTTTTCAATCTCCCTTTCATGTTCTTCTCCCTGCTCCACGCTCTTCTCTGTCAGTAGGCAGCTGAAGGTTCCTTACACCACTGAGTGCCCAGAGAAGTTTCAGGCAGAACTTCCCTTGTGCATTACTGGGACACAAAAGTTTGCTGCTGGAAATAAGAAGTGAAGGAAGCTGCTCACAGCAGAGCAGCTTTCTTCACAAAAGCAAACTTTTGTATATATTGTAATCAGGTAGCAGGTTCTGGAACAGTTTAGTGAGGTTGTAACTGCATCCCAATGAATCATTTTGGATAGAAAGAACTGTCAGAGATGAGAGCCCTGCAGAGCTGATGCTGAGCAATGTGGGAAACTCCATCTGCCTTAATATCTGCACCAGCACCTTTATGATTATGCTCAACAGACGTGTATGTGTCTTCCCTAAAGTAGATGCATACCTATCACAGATGGTAAAATGGAAAATGAGACATCAGCAAACTCTTGAAATGTAATTAAAATAGTGATCATTATTATTTTGTATTAAATTACCAAATCATTTTTGCTATGGCCCTGCAGCTGAAGCAAGTCTTGTTTGTTCATTGGTTTAACCTGATAAGCCTGAAGGGCATGTCAGTAGCTTCAAGTAAACCTAAGTTCAAGGAGGGGAAATGGCCTGATTCATATTTAAAAATAGACTGAAAAATCTGATTAGAAAAATTGTCAGATGATAAGTTAATCAGACTGGCAAAAATTTGATTGCCCAGAAGCCTGGTTAAAATGCAAATTTTGTCTGACCAAGAATCCATCGGGTTTTCTGTTTGCTAGAAGGAGGCGACAGGGAAGATGAGTACGTGTTGCTTTGACATACAGCACAGTAACATGAAGCAGCCGCTCAGAGGAGTTGGCCAGCAGAAAAAACATAGAAAGAAGGAATGAAACTGAGACTCCCCAAGCCTGGGGAAGAGAATAGTGCTCAGTCATCCGAGCAGAAGGACTGAAGGAGGAGAGCTTGAGCAGAGGGGCACTGGTGGTTAGGGAGTGAGATCTGCTGAAACATCAACTGAGTGTGAGTGTATCTTACCTGGAAAGTAAAAATTGGGACTGGGCTTTTTAATTCCAACCAGGTGGTTAAAAGGTGTCTGGTTTTGGCAGAGGGAGCAGCAGTGCAGCCCTCAACTCAAGGTGGAGCTAGCAGGACAGCGTCCTTTAAAGCAGGGGGCTGCCTGCTTATGTGCCATCCAAATAAGTGAGAAATACTGTTATATGTAACCTGATTATAGATGTAATTGTTGTAAATAACCTATTTATAACAGTAGGATGCCAACATGAGCTTAAATTCTGCCAAAATTCTTGTATGCTTTTGGTGTCTCAGTGTAGCTGGAGAAATATGAGCTATCCAAAAATTCACTTTTAATTACCTCGAGAAAAATTATACCACATTTTGAATCATAGGACACCTCTGAAAATAAGGACACCTCTGGATTCCTGTCAGGCAGACAAATTTCATCCTGTTCTTGACTTGGGCAAATATTACCCAGCGTGGAATTATTAAATGCATACAACATTGAAAGAAAGGTCTTCTGCTTTATTACCCATGCGGTAGAGCTTTTAAGCACACACTTTGCTCATGTGTTCAGCCACTAGCTAAGTTTAAGCATTAAGAATAATGTCAGTAATGAAACAAGTGGAGATAATTTGCCTCTGGTTCAGTTAAAACCCACCAGAATAGAAAAATATAGGTTAAATAAAATCCGAATTTCTGTTAGATTTCAAATCAAATGAAAAAGTATTTTCAGATCTAGGAGGGTTTTGTTCAGTTTTTCTGCAGCAGAACTAACCCATCAAAGAAACAAAATAATTTCAATCTCCAGCTATTACAAAATATGAATAAGATAATAGAATTTAGGCCATATTTGTACTCCGATTAGCAGTAAGCGTGTCCCATGAAACTGGTTAGACCCAGCCTTGGTTAGCTCAGGAAGCCCGAAGAGAGTGATGCTGTTGGGGTAAATGTGAGCAGTTTTGGGGATACTGAAGCAAAGGAGTCCTCCTTTAGAAAGAGCAAATACTTGAGCTAGACCAGACCCTGGCAGTCCAGCTTACCCAGGAGGATTTTGTGAGCCTATGATGCTAAGTAATAAATACCACAGACCCTCAGTCTGAAATAAGGATGAAAAAGCAGATGCCGAAGGTGAAATGCGTACACAGAAGACTAAGCTATTGGCTTATTTTGGATATAACAAGGAGTTTTCCTCCTATACAAGAAATATCAATAACATATTTTATTGTTTTAATTCCAGGGTGATGATCTTAAGGAGGCAATTTGTGTGTATCTCAGCAGTTCCGTGTTGGATTTGATCTGATGTGATTTTTTGAGCATTAAACTACATTATTGGAATAGAGAAATACTTTGCACTTGGGGAGAGAAGGAAATGGGTTTTTTTTGTTTTTTTTCCACACAGTTGAGTGCTACATTTCTGAATTTTGAGTAATCGTTTTCTAAAATACAAAATAACATTGGGAAATTCTGAAACTTCTGATTATTGGTTTAACGTAGCAAAGCACAATCTTGGGATGGTGGCAATTTGTGACACTCATCATGTTTTGCTTCTTAAAGGATCGTGAAAATATTTTCACATAAGATCACTGGTTTTGTTAATATCGTGTAGTGCAGGCAGTAGTCCTTGTGTGGTAGCTGCATGAGTTGGCAGTGAACATTTTCATTTAAGAACGTGATCCTATAAACGCTAGCATTTGTCTACTTGAGAAAGGTGATGAGAAGAGCTACAGAGGAGTAATCAATTCAGAGCCGTGTCGTTCTTAGTTTGTCCTGGGGTGCACAGGTGAAAAAATCCCTCAGGTTAGATAGTCAAGTGGTTTATGGGCTTTCATTTTGTGAGCAGTAGATAATGCTGTGGATTTCATGGGCTTTGGTTTTGTGGGCAATAGATAATACTGTGGATTTAATGGGGTCGCTCATGTGAATGATGTTAATTTTGTGAACAAGTGTTTGAAAGACCAGGGCTGTATAATTGTTTTTAAACCCATCTTCTTGCTTGTGTTCCTGTTTAAGGTCCAGCTCAGCTCCAAATGAGGACAATAAGCTAGGCTCCATGCTGCAATCCCCAGGGTCCTGGCAGGGCATGACTTTGCACATATTCTTGCAATCTCAACTCTCTGTCTTGGCAGACATATGAGATGGACCATTCGTTAGAAAATTGATAGGTATCAAACCTATTGTTTCTGCTATTGCTTTTGCACCTAGCAAACCTCATATCAGTCTCTGACTGCAGATAAGGAAACTGCTCTAAGCATTAGTAGAATAATATTTCTCTTACAATCAACCCCGAGCTCTACTCCTACACCAGCATGTATAAGAAAAGAACTTACAGTCACTTCAAATTTAAAACCCAAGCTGTTCTTGTGCTTTAAGTTTCCATATGGTCCAGGAATACCTGTGGAGCGGCATCCTGCAGCAAGAGAAAGTGAAATATCAGCTCAGTGGAAGGAATCACATTAACATTTACAGGAGCTATGACAGGCAGTTATTTCCCTAGCTGTGGCTAGCTGTATGTTATTGTTTATCTGTTTTACTGCAAATTAAAAAACAACAAAAACCCCATAAAAACAACAAAAAACTATAAAACCAACAGAAAATGTAATATCCAGTTTCTGTTAAAAGAAGAGTTTCAGTGGCTTTTTTGAGACTCTATTGATTGATCAGTTTAAAGATAGTGTCTTTCTTCTTTGACAGTCAGATACTATTGGGTATTTGGTTTACTGAAACTCGTTTTGTCACTGTAGCATTAAATCCCCAATCAACTGATTTATAACGCACTCAGCATTCCATTCATTGAGGATTATATCCGCAAAAAAACCCCTACTTAAATGAATTGAACCTTACAAAATAAGGTTCAAAAAAAACTTTTAAACTGATACTTCATAAGAGCGTTTCTATATTGTTGCAAGGTTTGAAAGCTTACCTTGCAGCAGTTTTGTAATCACATAAATAATCCTGAAAGGATTAGAATCAGTCATTGCAGTTCCAGGTCTGTTAGTTTTAACACATTCAGCATCTCAATTTATTTCCAAGATAACAACATCAGAACCCAGTGCTACTCCTACCCAAGGAGAAATCTCTGCAAATTCTGGCTGAATATATCAGCAATAAAATCAATTTTTGAAAATAAGAGTTTTAAAAAATAGAGAATGCTTTGGGACGTTGAATAGCGCCAGTAATACAGGAGTGGACCTCTGAATATCAGTAGGGCTTTTAACAGAAACAAGGATGTCAGAATTGCGTTGATGGGTACATCTGCGGTACCATCTGGTGACTGAAAGAGGCGAGCACAAGAGTTTGATTTACTGTGATCTGTAAACTGTCCGCAGTTTGCCTTGACCAGCAGTGAAATTTGTGCCAGTTTCAGGCCACAGGCATCTGCTGCTCTTGTGCAGAGAGCTGGCTGCTGCAAGCCACTGCGTCCATGTCACCAGTGTTATGGATGATCGCCTGCCGCAAGACCCTGGTTAGAGATCAGAGACAAATTTGCTCCCAAAAGGGCTTCTCCTGTTCCTTGAACGACTCGTGTAGACTGTCCCTGGGTGTTTGTAACTGGAAGCTGTGTGAGGTGATGTTCTTGTCCTTTGGGTGACACAAAGAGCCTCGGCTGGGGAGAGCCATGTCATATTTCATCCAGAGAGACAAAGACACACCTGTGTCCGGACAAGGACTGTAACGTATTTCTCATGTAGTGCAGTGAGATGATCTTGACTGTGTAGCAGCCACATGGTTTGACTTGGAAAAATCATACATCTTTTAGAGATTGAGAGGATCTCACGTTGTATCTAGAACAATTGCAAGTGCTTTGTGTGTATGTGGAGGTGATGCAAAGGGTATCATTCATTGCTCGGATTTAATTCAATGAATTACTCAGCATGAATGAAGTGGCAATACCTGGTTGCGTGTAAGTAGATGTGGATAGGAGAAAATGAAATTTAGTAGCTGTGGAGAAGCAACTTTTTTCAAAAGTGTTTGTCAGTTAGCATTGTCTCAGTGCGTAAATGTATACAGTGTTCCACCACACACCCCAAAGAGCTGAAGTTACTCTGTGTCTGGACTATTCCTGTGTAACTATATCATTTATAACACACGTGTATTAGTAACTAGAAAGGTTATCGGAATTTATTTGAAGAGGTTAAGCCAAAAAGAAGAAACCTGCCCTAGTTTCCTTGACAAAGAGAGGTCTTAACTGAAGGAGTGTGATGTAGCATTCACAAATGAGAGCAAACAGAAAGCTCTGTAACATGAACAGAGATGACGTTTTAGAGCTGTTTCAGTGAAGTTTAAACTTGCCATTGACCTGAAGACCTGATCCTCTCTGCTCTCAGATCTGTCAGTGATTTGTGCACAGCACAGACTGTCAAGAAGTGCGTGGAGGAGCTGTTAACCTCTCCTACCCTTTCCTGCAAATATCCTTAACTCCTCATAGAGTAAAAATACGGTCTATTGGACTTCAGACTAAGAACCTATTTTTAATGTAGCTTTCTGAGGCCTTGCTCCAGGCATGAAGTCATTCTGAGATGTTAGTTGCATCCACTTCGCTCCACAGGAGTGGAGACCTTGTACTCGGCTTTATTATAGCTACTGCTGCTGTGTGCTTGGTGGCTGGGTTGTGTTAATTTGTGCACAGGCTGGGCAAGTTAATAGTGGCATTTCTGTGTGACAGGGTATGGTTAGATTGAAGAAGACTTGCTGAAGTACACTCTCTTTGGGAAAAGTGTTTCCTTGGGTAAGCAAATTTTTCCTCATTTGTTCTACATCTGTGATTTCTCATTTATTTTTGCATCTGTGCCAGGTTAATGATGAATAAATGGATTTTGTACCTGGCTGGGGATTGTTTATGACGCTTCTGCAAGAATGAGCTAAGTGTAGTTTTGATTAAGGATTCTTGACCAAACATTAGGAAGGGCCTTTCAGTTCCTTCTACTTCACATGAGGAATAATAATTTTTATGGTTCGTGGGCCTCCAATGCTGTCACATGCTGTGGAATGAATATTGAGATTAAATAGTTTTCTAAAGATAGAAACACTGACAACGTGCTAACAGTTCTGCTGTACCTTTGCAGAGGCTGACAGTGTCCTTGCACATGACTGCTTCACAGCATTGTTAGATTAAAGCCTGCCTGGCTGCTCTTATTCCTTTTTCTCCTCTGAATCTTTAATGTTGCACCTTCCTTTAGGATCCAGTGCTGCCACGAGTTGGTTATTTCTCTTCCACCTGTGGGACGTTTTGTCGTCCTGTTTAGTGTCTATTAGGGAGTTTGTATGGTTGCGAATCAAACACTACTATGCTTGCAGCATGGCAAAACTTACTTTAAATGGCTTGGTTTACATCTCAAGGAAGCAGCATGGTGGGATATTCACATGGCCTATCTGGAGGTGCTAAATTTCACATGTAGCTCCACAGTGACCTAAGCTGTAAGGGCTGGCTACACAGTCCAGTCCTCATTCTTGCACCGCACCCCTTCCTCCGTGCCATCTCTGGCTCCTGTCCGATCCTACACCGAGCTCTTTCGGCACACTGAGCCAGCAAAAACCTAACACAGCATCAAAAAGAGAAGATTGGTTCATGCCATCAGAGCCAGGGGAATTTCAGAGTCAAAGCAAAAGAGGGGGAGAGACCATGCAGGTGGGACCACAGGGATACAGCGGAGGCTGTTCTCAGCTGGCTGTTGGGACAGGCCCAGCAGTCCCCTGAAACCCTGGTCAAGTCAGGAAGGTGACATCTGTGTGGGCCTCCCTGGTCAGAGGGGAGAGATGGGCTCCTGCAAGGGGGGTGACAGCACAGTGGCTGCTCTGCTGGGCCCCAGACCATCTCTCCCTGTGGTGACAGGAGGTGCTTGAGGACTCCAGGTGTCTGCACCAAGGACTTGAGGCACCTGCACTGGTTGATTATTGCTCCCCCTTCTCTCTTCCCTGTTACAGTCATTTTAACAAGCTGTTCTTTACTAGCAGGTTCAGAAACGATCACTGTAAAAATACCTTTGACTGTAAATGCTATTTCTCAGTTCATTGACAGTAAACTTGTATAAACTTGCTCATTATTCAGCACACCTATGCTTTCAGTCTCTGCTGAATCCCAGCCTCTCAAACAGCATCTGCAGAGAACAGAGCTGCAAAGGTCTGGTGGTTTTGAGACCAGTTAATCTCACTTTGATTCTTTTTCCTGTGTACAGTAGGGAGATGTCTGTCATTGCTATGCTTGAGCCAAGATTAAATTCTCTGTCCTATGTGACTTGGGAAAAGAAATGAAATTATTTAGGTGACCTAGCACCTTCTGCTGGCTCACCAAATTACTAGCAAAATGGTCCTGTCTATCTAGTGCAGGTATCTGGACTGGTTATCTGGTCTGGGTTAATTGATCACTTCCTTAAGCCTTGAGCCTGCACAAACTCCGTGGTGGACCTACAACCTGACATGGCAATGTAGGTTTGAAAAATGTTTGACCTGGGGAGCTTTCTCTGTCCTGTCCCTGGCTTTCATGTGACAAATCTGTGGAGTGAAACCCATGCAGTAGTAGCTCCTGCAGGGAT